CATCTTGGCCTCCAAAGAGCACTCTGGCTGCACTTCTTCCAACAGGGATCTACTGGTTCCTTTGGCAGCCCATGGCACTTTCAATAGTCTCCTCCAACATCATAACTCAAAAGCATCGATTCTTCTACGGTCTTCCTTATTCACTGTCCAGCTTTCGCATGCATATGAGGTTACTGAAAATGCCATGGCTTGGGTCAGGAGCACCTTAGTTCTCAAGCTGACTCCAAGGTTACTCCCTGGTAATTTTGTAAATACTTACCTACATATGCACAGTGAATTGATAGGAAAAAAGGGCTTCTTTAGTCATGTTTGGAGTCCTAGTGTGGCACTGTGGGATAAGCACTGGAGTGGTAACTGCAAGGCTGGTGGTTCAAACCCACTAACTGCTCCTCAGAAGTCCCATTGTTGTTAAATGCCGTCAAGTTGGTTCTGATTCATAACAACCCTGTATAGGGTTTCCAAGGAGCGGATGGAACCGCTGACTGTGTTGTTCAAATGACTTCCCAGTCCAGCGCAATAACCCACAGTGTCACACCAGGGCTACATCAGAAACCCTATATGGGGTCACTACTAGTTGGAACCAACTGGATGACATTTAACAACAGCAACATAGTCATTCTGGCATATCTGCGTGGTGTGAACAGTTAACATACTTGGCGTGTGAACAGTTAATATACAGTTAACATAATGTTGGTGATTTGGATTCACCCTGACGCACTTCAGAAGGAAGGTCTGGAAATCTACTTTCAGAAAAATCAGTCATAGAAAATCTCATCAAGCACAGTCTGACATGGAGTCACCGTGATTGAAAAAGACTGAACATCAAATGGTCATGTAGACATGGTTTTGAGTCTGGTTCTATCACTTTCTAGATGTAGGACCTGAAGCCAGCACTTAGGCTTTCTAAGTCTCAGTTTCCTCATATAATGAAGTACTTCTTACATAAGTTCCCTGTGAAAACGTTAATAATACAATACAGAGAATGCATCTGTTAATTTTATCTGTTAATTTTAACTGGCATCACTGGATATTTAAAATACCATAAAATGAATAGGAGAAAACATGATTTAGCAATTTTCTTTCCAGTCTGTATGGTGTTAAAAAATGCAAATTAAATAAACTCTTTTCATCATCCAAATACCTAACTCAATTTATTATTGTACTTTACATTTTAAATTATAATTATATTTGATTATATTTATAGCATCTTTTATTATGAATCCTACTTAGATTAATAAAAGGAAGACTAAGCTTACAAAATTATTTTTTTGGTTTCTTGCCTGCTGGGTGAGATTTCCCATCAATTAGACATCTGGAATATTTCCAGATAACATAGCTTGAAGATACTATAAGACTTTTGTTCCCAGAAATAGATTTGACTCTCTGCCTAAGTTCTTTCTCAAAAAAATATAAAATCAAGATAATGCAGCCTTTTTGGCAGAGAACTGGAAATTCAGAGCATGTTTAGATTTATACTACAGTTGCAAAGATCAGTGAAGAACTTTTCCATCACTAGTTATAATAGCTTCATTACATCTCATTGGCGCTTCATGTTTATGTTCTGCCTAATGATTTTCCTTCAGTCAATAGCAGCAAACAACAAATAAATTACTCAATGATAATTGGTACTTTGACATGCTTTTTGCCTGAAATAAAGCATTTGTGCCAAAAAGTTTCCTACATTTTCCAAGATGTGTTCACACTTTACATTTTTAACTAATAAGGTTATTAAGTTTTTTTTAAATAACTAGTTTTACATAATGTAGTGTAAAATAATCAGAAAAAATACTAAAGTCAGTGCAAAATAAGCTGTTTTACTGGAAAATATCCAATCAATGGAAAAATCTTCTTGGTCAGGAAAAGTGTTCTTTGTGACGTACAATCAAAATCTGAATATCACTGAAATCCATTTCGATTAAACTTTTAAAAAAATGTATCATTGGTTATTATTTTATTTAATCATGAAAATTCCTCAGAATGTGCACCCTGAGAACCCAATAGGTATTAGGAGCTCTGCTTAGTACTGACAAGCAAAGCTCCACTGGTAGATGGAAATGTTCATGTCAGCACTTCTTTGCAGCATTTAACATCCAAGTTAATAATAAATAGCAGGTGAAATAACTAACAAGAAGCTCTGGTAGCGTAGTGGTTAAGAACTAACAACTAGTCAGCCAAATGCCCCTCACTTGTTGGTGCCAGTTCTCTTAGACAAATCTAAATTCAAGCCTAATCCAGGGACTGGCTGCCTAGCAAACATCTAAGAAAGACACCTGTGGATCAGAGGCCGTTTTCCAGGAACTGAGCATTAGTTAGCATTTATTTTTGGAAGAGAAATAAGGAAGTAAGTCAGAAAATTTTATGTTTCTGCAAGCCTACATAAGGTGCTTCAAGATACAGGCTGAAATCTGAACTGATTCTCAAGGTACTCAAATCCCTGAAGAATTTTAAAGCCCTGCAAAGTATTCATAATGATGTCATTAGCACTATGACATCGGAGAAGGTAAACAGTAACACACAGTGAAATAGCAGCATATCTTCAAATCCATCCATTCATTCTTTCAACATATATTGGTCAACTGCCTACCTTGTGCCACGTACTGTGATAGGGGCAATAAAGATGACTAGGATAAAATTCAGAAACTACAAAGTGGGCAGATTTAAATTCCATTGGAATAACTTTGGCACTGTAGGATAATGCACTGGACCACAAGGTCAGTTTGAAACGAAAAGGTCGGTGGTTCAAATTCATCAGCTACTCCTTGGAAACCCTATACTGGGTCGCTATGAGTCAGAACCGATTTGATAGCACTTAATAACAACAACGGTTAAAACAGAGGTATGTGTCAAAGTCTTTGAAATAAATTTAGATGTAGCAAATCACTATAATGATAAAATCAGACAAAGTTGCACATGTGTGAGTATACGCAGGCATTAATTATAATAGAGAATTAGTAGTAGTTTGCCAGCTATGACAGGAGAACAGAAAAGCACTCTGTTGTAAAACCAACACTTATCTAAAAACATGGAGATGTAAAGGGGCTGGTGAGTCTAGAGTACCTGGGGAGACTTTTTATAAGATTCTAACAGGAAAACTGGGGAGCACTGGCTCTGTATGTTAACTATAAACCAAAGATCAGGAGTTCGAGTTCACCAACTGCTCAGCAGGAGAAAGATGAGGCTTTCTGCTCCTGCAAAGATATACAGCCTTGGAAACCTTATCCAGGGTCATTATGAGTTGGAACTTACTCTACAACACTTAACAACAACAACAATGTAAAGAATATTATATTGATTTGCCTAATTTTTTATAGAAGAAAGAACCAATAGAGGTTCATGGGATGTCATGGGGGAAGGGGATGGTGATGTCATGGTTACCTTCAAGGGCTGGGAAACCAGAGCTGGGAAGCTCAGGAGGCTGCTAAAATATCCTGAAGAAGAGTCTGAGATTTGTGGTGACAACTTGGGTAGAAAAGGGAGGCACAAAAACACATCAATAATCTTACTGACTATATTGGTTGAGGTTTTACCTTGAAAGGGAAAAAAATGATGGAGGCAGAAGGCATTACACAGATCATTGAATCAAGAACCTAGTATAGTCTATCTGATTGTTGTTGGTGGTGGCCATTGTGTCAATTATGGTTCATGGTGACCCTACATGTGTCAGGTATAATTGCACCAGAGGGTTTTCCAGACGGGAACCTTACAGAAGTAAATTAAAAAAACCCATCTTCTAAGGTGCCTCTCAGTGAATTCAAAGCACCAAACTTTTGGTTGGTAGTCAAGTGCTTAACAGTTTGCACCACCCAGGGTGATTTTTTTTTTTTTTAAATTAATGAAGACTTTGGGCAACTCTTAGACTCATGGTTGTTGTGTTGTTAAGTACCATCAAGTCAGTTCTGACTCATAAGAATCCTTACATGGTTTTCAAAGAGCAGTTAGTTGATTTGAACCACTGACCTTGCAGTTAGCAATCCTGTGCTTATCCTCTATCGCCACACAAAGACTCCTAAAACTCATGTTGTTGTTGTTGTTGTTGTTAGGTGCCATCTAGTTGGTACCAACTCATAGCGACCTTGTGTACAGCAGAACGAAACAATGCCCAATCCTGGCCAACCTCAGTACTAAAAATTAAACTGTTTTCCATTTCTGGCATCACTGTTTAGTTTTTGGAAATGATCAGTCCAGTGAATGTTTGCAATACCATGTCAGGGACTTCTGTGACTCTGAAGTACTACCACAATGCTTTTCAGGTAATAAGCAGCAAAGTTTGTGAATAATAGTAAATTTTTTACATATGAAAGCTACTCACTTGGATTTGACATCAATATATAAACACTTGTAAGTGGGAACACTTACTCTGCAGTAATCCAAAGTCGCAACATATTCATAGGATCCTAAAGATAGCTCTGGCTTCTCATAGTGGTCCAGTCTTCTCCCCATGTGGTCCAAATGTTGGAAATAGAATGGTGGAACTAATAAAAAAGAAAAACAATTTTTGTTTTCATAAACACAGAAAATTTAATACTCATCAAAATTTATTATGGGAAGAAAAGATTTAGGATGAGGAAAAGGAATAGTGAAGTTATTAAATTGTTGTTGTTAAGTGCCAATGACTAGGTCCTGACTCATAGTGACCCTCTATAGGGTTTCTATCACCACTTGCCTGTCAGTCTGTCATTACTTTGGTATTTTGCATGTGGCTGTAGTGCTGGAAGCTATGTCAATGATATTTTAAATACCAGCAGGTGACACATGGTGGAGAGATTTCAGAGGAGCTTCCAGAATAACACAAACTAGGAAGAAGGAGAAACGGACTATTTCTGAATGTTTAGCCACTGAAAACCTCATGAATAGCATCAGACCATTGTCAGATACACTGCTAGAAGATGAAAACATTATGAATAGCACTAGAATATTGTCAGATACAGGGGCAGAAGATGAATCCCTCAGGTTGGAAAGCACTCCAAATATGACTGGGGGGAAAAAGCTGCCTCCTCAAAGTAGAGTTGACCAAGATGACATAAATAGAGTAAGGCTTTCAGGACCTTCATTTGCAGATTGGATACAACTCAAAATGAGGAGACACAACTGCAAACATCCATTAGTAATCAGAACATAGAATGTGCACAGGATGAATCTAGGAAAAATTGGAAGTTGTAAAAAATAAAATGGAATGCATAAAGATCAATGTCCTAGGCATTAAGACCCCTGATAGCACATTGCATTACTAGCTTGGCTGCTAACTGCAAGGTCAGCATATCGAACCCATCAGTAGCTACATCATGGGAGAATGATGAGGCTTTCTGCACCTGTAAAGATTTACAGCCTTGGAAAACTCTATACAGGGTTGCTATGAGTCAGAACTGACTTTAAGGCACACAACCAACCAACAAGTAAGCGATTTAAACTGTATGCTGAGCAAATAATTTGATAAAGTGGATTATATTAAAAAAAATATGATATCAGGGTTGGAAGAAGACTCATTAACAACCTGTGATATGCAGATGATACACTCTTGCTTCCTAAAAGCAAAGACAACTTAAAATATTGATGAAGATCAAAGACCACAGCCTTCAGTATGGGTTGCATCTCAACGTAAAGGGAAAAAAATTACTCACCACTGGACCAATAAACAACATCCATGTAAGTGAAGAAAAGATTGAAGTTGTCAAAGAGTTCATTTTGCTTGAATCAACCATCAACACTCATGCAAGCAGCAGTCAAGGAATCAAATGATGTATTGCATTAGGCAAATCTGCTGTGCAAGACCTCTTTCAAGTATTCAAGAACAAAGATGTCAGTTTGATGACTAAGATGTGCCTGACCCAAGCCATGGCATTTTCAATAACTTCATATGCATATAAAAGTTGGATAACAAATAAAGAAGACTGTAGACGAATTGATGCATTTAAGTTATGATGTTGAAGGAGAGTATTAAAAGTACCATGGACCACAAAATAACAAACCAATCTGTTTTGGAAGAAGTAGAACCAGAATGCTCCTTACAAGCCAGGATGGCCATACCTTAGACATACTATCAGCAGAGACCAGTCCCTGGAGGGGTACATTATGCTTGGTAAAGTGGAAAGTCAACAAAAAAGAGGAAGACACCCAACAAGATGAATTGGCACAGTGGCAAAAGCAATGGGCTCAAGCGTAGCAATGATTCTGAGGTTGGTGTAAGACTAGGCAGTGTTTCATTCTGTTGTGCATAAAGTCACTGAGTCGATACTGACTCAGTGGCACCTAACCAGAATAACATTGGCCATATTGAATCAGGCAATGATATGGTTTACTATCCAAGAACAACAAATTGGAATGGTGTCACATTCATTGTCAAAAAGAACATTCAAAATCTATCTGGAAGTATAATGCTGTCTGTGATAGGATAAAATCCATGCGCCTACAAGGAAGACCAGTTAATGCCATTATTATTTAAATGTATGCACCAGCCAGGGATGAGGAAATTAAAAATTCTACCAGTTTATTCAGCCTGAAATTGATCAAACAAACAATCAAGATATATTCATAATTACTGGTGATTGGGATGCCAAAGCTGGAAACAAAGAGAAAGGATCAATAACTGGAAAATATGGCCTTGGTGACAGAAGTAATGCTGAAGACAGATAATATAATTTTGTAAAACCAACAGCTTATTTATTGCAAATACCTTTTTAAACAACATAAAAGATGACTATACAAATTGACTTCACCAGATGGTGAACTGACTACATATGGTGGAAAAGCTCAATATCATCAGCCAAAACCAGGCCAGGGAAGTCTATGACAGAGTGCATCAGTTGCTCATATGCAAGTTTAGAATATGAATCGGAAGAAAATGAAAACAAGCCCATGAGCCAAAATATTATCTTGAATTTAGAGATCAGCTCAAGAACATATCTGATGCGTTAGACTCTAATGACAGAAGAGTTGTGGGAAGACATTAAGAACATCACATAGGAAGGAAAATCATTAAATCATTAAAAAAACAGAAAACAAAGAAAAGACCAACATGGATATTAGAAAAGACTCAGAAACTTTTCCGAAGCTGTAAATATTTGTGGGAGCAAATATCCTCATCTTTCTCCCACTGAGAAGCTGGTGGACTTGAACCATTAACCTTGTGGTTCACAGTCCAGTGTTTATCCTACAGAGCCACTGATCTCCTTTTTTAAAGCTGGAATGTGGTATATTCTAAATATCTACTATTTGAAAAGAATGTGCTTCAAAGTTTTTGCTGTAAAGTGCATTCAGTTGGTTCTAACCCATAGAGACCCCCTGTATAGTATTTCTGAGGAGCAGCTAGTAAGTTTGAACTATTGACCTTGTAGTTCAAACTGACCTGTGGTTGAATGCTTATCTTACAGTGCTACACCAAGACTCCGCATTCGAAAGTACTCATGCCTCTAAAAAATTCCTCTTGACCTTTTAACAGGTAATGACAAAATACATTATTAAGACTATTCTGGAGAAATAAGGGATGAAAATACGACTGTTTTTATTAGGTGTTACAACCCAGATTTAATTGTCTCTATTTAATTAAAAGAATTCTGAGTTTTTTAATTATGTGAATTTTCAATATACCTAACAGAACTATACTCTGGCTACTGGGATATCTAATTAACTGCAACAGCTCTTATCCTTTCTTGAGAGCTGTTTTCAACCATGGTGAGTTTGCATGATAGTCCTCTAATGTTTGTGTTTCAGCACAGACAGGATTACTGTATTAGGGAAAGCCTACACCACGAAGATCTCAACCGAGGGACTCTAATTTGATTCAAATGTCTAAGAAGGTTAGTTCTGGCGAAGACCTGGAAGTCATCCAACACACAGGAACACTGATGAGTCACATACTGAACACTTGCACAAATATGGCCTGGATTCTCTGTGAAAGCAGCTCTTGCCATTTTGAGATGAATAGTACTGGTCATCAAAGCCACTACCAGAAGAAGAATTTAGAGTAACCAGCAATGTTCGGACTTGAAGCATTTTGTAAAGAACAACAGTTTCATTTGTAATGCCACAGAAGTAACATTCTTTCATACAAAACCAACAACTCAGTATTCGTTTCTGCTCCAATTGTGAAACTAACACATGAATGACATAAAACAGCACTGTGTTGTAGGTTGAACTTAAAATAAAATCACTGAAGCTTGACATTCCCATTTACTTACCATATTACACCATTTAAAAAAAAAAAAGTTTTATAAAATTCGTAAGTACATTGTTGTTGTTGGATGTCATCAAGTTGGTTCCGACTCATAGCGACCCCTATGCATGACAGAACAAAACACTGCCCCATCCTGTACCATCCTCACAACTGTTACAGTTGAGCCCACTGCTACTGCCACTGTGCCAATCCATTTCCTTAAGAGTCTTTGTCTTTTTTGCTGACCTCCACTTTACCAAGCATGATGTTCTTCTATAGGAACCGGTCACTCCTAAAAACATATCTGAAGTACAAGAGATGAGGTCTCATCATCCTTGCTTCTGAAGAATATAATGGCTGTTGGCTGTACTCCAAGACAGATTTGCTTGTTCTTTTGGAAGTTATGGTACTTTCAATATTCTTCTACAACACCATAATTCTAATACATCAATTGCTTTCCGCTCTTCCTTATTCATTGTTCACTTTCATATCATATGAAACAACTGAAAACACCATGGCCTGGGTCAGGCTCGCCTTAGTATTCAAAGTGACATCTCTGTTCTTGAACACTTTAAAGTGGCATTTTACAGTGATTCACCTAATACAATAAATATGTCATTTGATTTCTTGACTGCTGCTTCCTTGAGAGTTGATTGTGCAGTCAAGCAAAATGTAGTCTTTGACAACTTCAATTCTTTCTCTGTATAGCGTGATGTTACTTATTGGTCTAGTTGCATGGATTTTTACTTTCTTTAACATTAAGGAGCAATCCATACCAAAGGCTGCAGTCTTTGATCTACCTCAGTAAGTCTTTGAAGTTCTCTTAGCTTTCAGTAAACAAGGCTGTGTCATGTGCTCATCACAGGTTAATGACTCTTCCTCCAACCCTAATGCCATTTTCTTCAAATAATTCAGCTTCTCAGAATATTTGCTAGCATACAGATTGAATGAAAAGAAAGAATACAATCCTGGCACACAACTTCTCTGATTTTAAACCATCCAGTGTTCCTCTCTTCTGCTCGAACAACTGCCTCTTGGCTCTGGGATAACCCATTCTTTGCAATGCTATCCACAGTTTATTATGATCCACACAGTCAAATGCCTTTGCACAGTCAATAATGCACAAGTAAATATATTTCTGGTATTTTCTGTTTTCAGCCAGATCCATTTGATATCCTGGTGTGGTACTGTAGGATAAACACTAGACTACAAAGGTCAGTGGTTCAAACTCATCAGCGGCCCCTCAGAAACCCTACACAGGGTCGATATGAGTCAGAACCAACTGAGCAGCACTTAACAACAATGATATCACTAGGTCCACATCCTCTTCTGAATCTAGCTTGAATTTTGGCAGTACTGACGCAACCGTTTTTAAATTATCTTCTGCAAAATTTATTTGCATGTGATATTAATATTACTGTTTAGTGATTTCTGCATTCCTTTGGGTCACCTTGCTTATGTACTTTCATACACACATTTGTTGTTGTTAAATGACATCAAGTCGGTCCTAACTCATAGCACCCCGGTATAGGGTTTCTGAGGCTTTAGATCTTTGTGGGAGCTGAAAGCCCCATCATTCTCCCGCAGAGCAACTGGCAGATTTGAACCATGGACCTTGTGGTTCACAGTCCAGTGCTTATCATATGGAGTCACCAGGTTCCCCTCATAAGTACACTGTTATTGTTAAGTGCCGAGTAGGCTCCTAGTATAGAGGAATGACCCTGTATAGAGTTTCCGAGGAGCAGCTGGTAAATTTGAACTGCTGACCTTGAAGTTCAAATTAATCTTGCAGTCCAGTGCATTATCCCACAGTACCACACCAGTATATAGATATATCTGTAAATTAGGAAAATTCAGTGTCTTGAAAAAATATTGTAGAAATGGAAACTGATAGTATCAGCTGAACAAAGTAAATGAAAACCACCAAAACCCAAGTCCACTGCTAAGCCAAATTCAATTCAGTGGCCCTATAGGGCAGAGTAGAACTGCTCCATAGAATTTCAAAGGCTACAGATCTTTAGAGATGTTGATGTTTTTCCTATGGAGCAGTTAGTGGATTTGAACCACTAACTTACTACATTTAACTCACTGCATTACCAAAGATTCTTAAATAAGTGAAGAAGATGTTAAATTTCATTTTTGTTGCATTTAGATGAAAAAGGATGCCACACTTCCTGTCTTAGGATGTCTGGTACAGTGATTTCTACGTAGTGTAACCTATCACTCAGATTCATATGCTGTTGTTATTGACCTTGTGATTCAAACCAAGCTTGAGGTTGCATGCTTATTCTACGGTGCCACACCATGTAATAGAAGTGGGCCTCAAACATTTCATGGAAGACTTCCACTATCTTTTAATTCCATTCTTCCACGAACTTTTTCAAGCCCCACTCTACGTGAAGTTTTCATTCTTTTAATTCATTTTCTATATTTTAGTCTTTCCTAAAAGGTTGTGTGGTGCTTTAGGATCAGTATTGGACTGTGAACCACAAAGTCTGCAGTTCAAACCCACTGCTTCTTAGAAACCCTACACAGGGTTCCAATGAGTCAGAACCGACTCCATGTCATTTAACAACAACAAAGGGTTGTTAAGAGTTGAAATGGACTCAATCAATAGCTCTGGGTTTTGGGCTTGGGATCTGTTTTAGGAACCACTGTAATGTATGCACTGCTATATGAGCCCTGTTTTCCTGGAGGATTTTGAACTTACTGGGCAGTCTTTGAACAATTTGTAGAGAAGCAGAGTGGAACCACATGACCAAGTCTTCTGGGTTCTTTCTAACTCCAACAAGCCTCTAATTTCTTCAAGCCTCAAATGAAGAATGAGGGGTCTGGCTTCCTTGAGAGGACAAATGACCCTGTTGTAGCACAAACATGGCAGTATTCTAGCAGTGGATACCCCAGGAAAGGAATCTACTGTGTGGAAAGAACTCTTTGGTATCGGCAAGAATGCCGAGTAGTTCTCTCTCCCTAGAATTGGCTGGGCCTTTTAAGGCCATGAGCTGACACTTGTGGTTAGATGAGGAAGTTACATCAAGTTGAAGATCCTGGATGCTCCACTTTTTAGATATAAACCTGATCACCCTGCTAAGAGCATCGAGGGCTTGACAATAAGAAATTTGGGAATGTGTTGGAGAACTTCATCTGAATATTTCAGAAGAGACTTTGCTTTCTTATGACATTGTCACCCCAAAACTACAGCACAGGAAAACATGAAGATAATTATCACATAAAACCGTTCTAGAAAAACTTTCTAAGTGCACATATAAATAAATGTGAGGATTTTCTCAGCTTAAGTTTGGGCTTTAACACTAAAGAATTAAAAATATAGGGAAGTGTTATAAGGGTAATCAACATGAGCACACTTGTAGCAAGTGTGCAGTTTTTACAACATCAGCACAGATAAATAAAGTGTCACTGGATCCCTGAAGTTAAAAACAAAGGAAAACCACAAAACAGTTGTCATCCACTTGATTCTGACTCAGGGTGACAGTATGTGTTTCACAGTAGACATGTGCTTGCTCCACAGGGTTTTCAATGGCTGTAATTTTCCAAAAGTAGATCTGCAGATATTTCTTCTGAGGTAACTCTGGGTGGATTTGAACCCCCAACCTTTTCATTAGTAGCTAAGCACTTAACCATTTGTACCAAAGAGAATCTTCCTGATGTTTAGGTTCTAAGATTTAGGAATAGCCAAGCATTTGGTTGCAGGTTTCATCCAGAATGAGTGATGGAGACCGACCTTCCTTAGAAAGAGAAGCAAAGGTGGAGAGCTAACAGAAAATTGATCTCACTGGGATATCCAATTTCCACTGAGAAGATGCCACACGAACAAAGAGACAGACTCAAACCAACAATGTAACTCTGTAGTAAGGCATTTTTCAAAACTGAAAAAAGTCTCTTTGTGAGAAAATCTCACAATGCCAGTTGGATACTACAAAGTAGACAAGACATTGAGCCACAACAAAGGGGCAGAGAAGATAAGAGACAATCAGTAACCAGACAAAAATGCCATGAAGGTAATGAAGCAATCAGAAAATTGCCTGAGCTCAATTGTCAGAAAGCACCCCGACTCAGCAGGAAGCATGGGCGAAAAGAATGTGATACATTCTTCAACGCTAACCTTGGGGAAGAAGGTCCATGAAGACAGGAACAGATGCAAACATGTAGACAGTTACCACATAAACTAGTCTAGAAAAAGTTTATAAGTACTCGGATGTGAGGACGTTCTTAGTTTTAATTTGTGCTTTTACACTAAAGAATTAAAAACACAGAGACATGTTATAAGTGTAGTCAGTATGAGCACACTTGTAGCAAGTTTCTCAATATCAACAGATTCAGATTGGTATAAAACTGATAACAAAATAAATATGGAAAGGTCGTTGGTAATCATTGTCTTTCCTCTCTAAAGAATTCAGGAGTCTAAAGAATATAGTATTTAGAGAAAAGTCCATATACGTTTTAAAGCCCTCAGTCATTCATACGCTGATCCCAAATGTTAATAAGAAGCTCGTATACAATAACTGTAAAAAATGACAAAAGAGGAACAGTTTCTTAGATTTATCATCTGTAGATATAAAATGGCACACAGTTTTCTTCCAGTTGAGTCTCTGTGCAAGGTGACTAAGAAATGGTATGCCACCTTTTGAGTTTTCTTTAGTACGAAACACTGTAGCTTCCGTGTGAGACTCATGGAGTGGTGGAAGGACAGCTGGAGCTTGGATGTCCCAAATGAGCATGTTCTGATTTACTTCCTGCCAGTGAAATTACAAATAACGTACTACCGTGTAGAAAATAAATACCTGCGCTTCTCCTCAGTTGAGAATTGTATGTATTTCATTACATAAAGTGCTTTCACCAGCATCCAATGATACCACTTACCGTCATTCACACAGCTGCAAAATCCACACTGATACCGCCTTCCTCCTTCAATAAACTGCATAAACGGGCACATGTAGGCCTTGCATCTGTTGCATCTGACTGGCCCAGTCTCACCATGGTTTACCAGGTAAAGGGGAGTCTATAAGAAACAGGTAAAAATAAGCAATAGGTATTTTAGAAATCCTGTGCTATGTGTGTAGTCTGAAGTCTCTTCATGGCATTCTTTATGGAACCTGTAACTTTCAACACTTTCCAGAAGAGTACAGATGCTTCATTTGATACCATGTGAAGTCAAGCAATGAGGTATTATCCACAACATCCAAACAAAAAATAATTTAAATGTGTATCTCAATATTAGCACAGACGTATGTATGTATTTTGTTTGTGTGTATGTATGCGAAGCAGGGAGGGAGAAAGGAAGCAAAGAGAAACACAGAAAAATAGGTTAATGGCAATAACATTTATGCTAAAAAATGTCCTGGATGCCTTTTACCACATATTTTGCTACGTTTTTTCATAGACTATAAATAAAGAGGTAAATGGGGGCCTGATTTTATAAACTTTACTTTGCATAGCAGTATGCTGTTTAGATAATTTCATCTAAGTATACAAAACACATCTTCACAAATGGTACTATCTGTTTGAGGAAATATGCAATGACTCTCACTTATTTAGGAAAAGAGGCTGGTTCTGTCTTTTCTGTTACTCTGTCAGCTGACAAAACGTTTCACAGAGTGATCTCAACGTGGCTGGTCATTACTCTGTCAGACTGAAAAATAAATATTTCAGTTGCTCCTTCCTCATAAACACACATAGAAACCATTACACATCTGTTTTTTGGTTTTTTTTTTTTTTTTGCTTTGTTTTTAATTATGAATTGAAGGAAGGTTTACAAAGATCATCAGTTTTACAGTCAACAAATCATACACTTTGTGTCATCTTTATGATTGCAATCACCTCCATGGAACAACAGATAGCCCCACTTCCTCCTTGTGATTCTTATTTTGATTCCACTACTCTCCTCCTAGTGTAGTTTTTACAAATTGGGCTGCGAACCTTAAGGTCAGCGGTTCAAAACTACCAGCCGCTCCGTGGGAGAAAGATGAGGCTTTCTACTCCTGTACAGGGTCGCTATGGGTCGGAACCGACTTGATGGCACTTAACAACAACAACAACAACTCTCCTCCTATAAAGGAGCTCTGGTAGCATAGTGGTTACGAATTGGGCTGCTAACCCCAACATCGGCAGTTTGAAACTACCAGTTGTTCCGCGGGAGAAAGATGGGGCTTTCTGCTTCCATAAAGATTTACGGCCTCGGAAACACTGTGCAGGGTCACTATGAGTCGGAACCAACTCCATGGTACTTAACAACAACTCTCCTATAACTTCCCAACTGTGTCATTAGGTAGATGTTGCCCTTTTGATTTTCAATGGTTGACCATTTCATGGTGAGCACACCTTACTAGTGTTGTTGTTCCCCTGTACATCTATCTATTGCTTGGTTGAAATTTGGTGCATGAGGTGAGTTCTAGACCTTAAGGGTGGCTGAGGGCCACAGTCTTAGGTTCTTCCAGTCTCTTCCTGATCAGTAAGCACAGTCTTTTTTGTAATTTTGAGTTTTGTTCCACATTTCTTCCCACTCTCTCCAGGACCTTCTAATGTGATCCCTCTGAGAGTAGTGGGCAGTGGTAGAGGGACACCATCCAGTTCTGTTCTCAAGAGTGTGGTGACTGATGTTCACTAGCTTCAATGGTCCACTGGACTAGCTGATTTCAAGCATATTCAACTTTCATCACTCATCTTTCTTTCACACATAGAGAAACCAATAGTTGCACCTTAGATGGTTGCTCACGAGATTTTAAGATCCTCAACATTACTCAGTAAAGTAGAATTCAGAACATTATCTTTGTGGATTATGTTATGTCAATTGACCACAGTATCCCCTGAGACTACGGTCTTGAGCCCCTAGATCCAAGAAATCATTGCCTTAAGATGTTTGATAATATCTAAGAAGTTGTCATCATTTTGTGCCCTGTATGCTCTACCACATTCATAGCTGTATTTGCAGCAAAGGTAGTACCCACGTACAAATATCCTCTTTCAAACTCTTATATATGTATGGATATACTCCCACTCTCCCTCCCATACTCATTCAGCCTGTGCATCTGTCCATGTATCTACCTGCAGAACACTGTTGTTTCAGGGTTAGCTATAGAACACCATTTACCCCTACCCCTTTTAACCCTTGCATACCTTCCTGTGTCTTTACCTGTCTTCATCATTCTTTGGCCAACCTCCCTTTTCTTATATATTGTCCTCCTCATCACTTGCATTAACATCTGTCTGTCCTCTAGCCAGTGAATTATTCTCCCTTTCCTTCCACCTGCTGTTGTTGTTAAGTGCCAATGAGTGGCTTCTGACTCATAGCAATCCTGTACGGGGTTTCTGAGGAGTGATGACTGGTGGCTATGAACTGTCACCTGTGGCTCAAACTGATCTTGTGGTCCAGTGTTCCTACCCCCTGTCAATCATCAAAGAATACTTCTTTTAGCATGAAAACCTTTTCTTGAATTTTTAATAATTGTGGTCTCAAACAATACTGGTTCTTGTGTGACTTACTAATTTCACTCAACATAATGTCCTCTAGGTTCATCCATGCTATCATTATACTTCAACACTGCATAGTATTTCATCGTGTGTATGTACCAAAGTTTATCCATTCTTTCACTGATGGGTATTTAGGCTGTCTCTTATCTTTTTTTCTATCATGAATAACACTGCAATGAACATCAGTGTGCATATATCTACTTGTGTCATGGTTCTTATTCCTTATGGATATATACCAAGTAGAGGGATTGCTGGGTCATATGGTATTTCCATTTCCAATTTTCCGAGGAAGCACCATACCATTTTCCAGAATGGATGAATCACTGTATAGTCCCACCGGCAATTTAGGAGGGTCCCAGTCTCACCACATCCTCACCAGCATTTGTTGTTTTCTGTTTTTTTGAACTCTGCTAGTAATACCGAAGCCATTATACATCTTTTAAAATTTGAAAGTGAAACTACTTCAGTACTAGAAGGCCTAGTTTCGAATTCTTTCAGCATTCAAACTAAAACCACAAGGGTTCTTCTTGTTTTTATACATCTCCTTAAAATATTTTTAGAAAAGTATGAGAGTTATATAGAGTTTGGCACATCGCTAACTTTTTTTCCCCCCCAAAGAAAAAGACGTAAATGAAGTACACTGCCAGCTTTTTCAAGGCTGTTTGAAAAGCATGTGGGTTCAAGCTATTTTCCGTCCAAGTTCACTTCTGTTCCCTAGCCAGATGGTCAAGAGGAAGACTAATCCACAACCGAGGTTTTAGATATGGGCTGGCGGCCCCAGAGCAGAAAACACAACATTTCAATGTAGTATGCAAAGGAGTTAGAGGAAGAATTACCAAAAAACCCCTAAAAGACCCACAACCACACACACATATACACAAAAACCATTTGGAAGCACTCCTCACTGACTTTGCACTGTCCTGCCTTCACCTCCCACCTAAGGGAGTTGAGAAAATAGATATGATCTTGTTTATTGTCTTCTGACCCACAGCAGGGATAGTCCTAGTGCCCTGCAGGAAGGTCTGTGACAAGGATTAAATGAGTAATACATGTACTATACGGAACACTGTGCCTGGCACATTAACTGTTGGAAAAAAAGGTAAATTAGCATTTTTAGACACAACAACCTTTCCTCTCTCAAAATCACTCAGCTCAGGGAAGAGTATCTTTAACTGGAGAGTTACAACTGCATTCCTTTAAAATGGACTCTCTTGAATTCCAGAAGGCATTTATTTATACAAATATTTAAATGAGTCAACTAGTTTGTCACTACAAAATGACATTATAAACAGGAGCTAGAAGGCATGGAATCTACCTTTCAGGAGACTATGATACAATCCAGGATAACAAGCTGAGATGCAGAGTCAATTTTAAAAACACTCTAGGAATTTCATTTAAATGTATAAGCTCACACACATACATATTAAAACTTGCAATAAACTCATTTATATGTTCAGTAAAGGGCAAAAAGTGGCAAATGTTTGTGCTTTTTAGCTTATAATTTAAGGCATGACCTGAAAAGAGACGAAAGAATCTAACAAAAAGATGTAGGTACAAACAAGAGATTCTAAGAATGACAAATGAAGAATTAGAAGAAGTGAAAAACAGCAAAAATGCAAGGAACCCTCCAAATCTTCAAAAATCCAGTTACCAATTCAGCCTCGAGTTACTGTATTGTTCTACAGCTTCAACTTTTGAGATCAGACAACGCTTTTAGGAGTTAAACATTTACAATTCACATCTAGTCCAGTTACACTTTCTTATCCTTTTATTTTCACAGAGTACAAAGGGTATAATCAATTCCCTGAAAGACTTGAGAAACAAAATACAATGCAATTATTTCTAGACATGCCAGTGGTAATGGAAGGGAATCGACCTTATTTTTTTTACTGATAGGATTTGCTCAGAGGCAAGCCTAGCCTAAAATAACTGTAAAATTGTCAGAGTAACTAAGGCCTAAGCATTCCAATGCTGGCAGATTCAAACTTGCAGCATTGAAAATGAATGTCTAGTAATAAACTGGCGTCAAGCAATGACTGTATCAAGGCTATTAAATACGCTTACAGTTTTTCAACTTTCACTCCTTTGGAAGCAGAATGATGGATATGTGAGGAAGGTCTTCAGACAACTGTGGTGACAGTAAAGAATGTTAAAAGCTTTTTAACTGTTTACATTTTCTTTTCAGGCAACAAGACATGGGTTTCTAAATTGTGCTGTCTTGTTTCATCTCCCTCAGGCCATGTTGAAAACCATCAGAGAATTTTTGTTGCTGTCTCCAGATGTCTGCCTATCTGCTACACAGTAGTGTGTGGCGTCAGCTCATAAATAGCTAATCTCACTTTTCTTCTGAGTTCTGCACTAGCTTGTATGTGTGGCTTTAAAAAATTTAATGCAAATGACTTCCCAAAATTTCCCCTAAGTTATTATCATACAAAAGACATTATACCACATTTAAAGTTTCATAATTTCGTTCATAAATGCATTTTGATCTTTTGGCCTCTACTATGTCCTTGTTGTTGTTAAGTGCTGTTG